GTGTGTGTGAGAGAGAGAGTGTGTGTGTGTCTGTGTGAGTGTGTTTGTGTGTGAGTCATTGATCGAGGGGTAAACATTGCCCAAGAAAATGGCGCTAACCTGTTCGGTGTAGCACCCTGGGATCTTTTGCAATATTCTGGGTAGACTCCCTCTGCTGGTACATGTGCATGTTGATGTCTGAAGGGGACAACTCACACCCTGCCGTTTTCGAAATGCTGGCGCACATGCATGGGAACTAAGTGTCGCTTCCCTTCCCCCAGAAAATGGACGAGAATCGAGACGGCATTGTGACAATTGACGAATTCGTGCGGAACTGCCAGAAGGTTTGTGACGCTTCCCTTCCCTTCCCTATCCCCAGCTCTGAAACGAGGCTGTTCCGCCCAAGTTTCCCTCCCTTAAAACCTGAGGGCTTTCATTGAGACGGTGCAGGGGGAGGCCATTCAGCCCATTGTGCCTGTGCTAACTCCTTGAAAGCCTCCAGCGCAACCCCCCCAGAGCCCCAAATCCGTGTTTATTTCCCTCAGTTACAAAAGCAGTGATCCACTTACGATTTTGAAGCCATCTTGATATCTTTTATTGCCCTTCCCCAACTACCTGATACCCACTCTGTTCTCGCTCCTGGCCCTCCCTGCTTGGAGGGTAGCGTTATTTCCTCACTCGGGTTCCCCTTTCCAACTTGAGAATGCCCCAAATCGATCTCGCTTTCGCCAAGAAGGGAGGCAAAGCGAGATTCCTGGTTTCACATCACACTCCTCCCTGCTGGACCGCACCCGACTGCCCACTTGGGTCAAACGGTTTGGGAATTCTGCAGGCTCGTTGGCCAAGCCGTGGGATCCCATCCTCCAGGGCCGGTGCCACCCTTGCCCCTCCCCCCCCGCCCCCAGACAAACCAGTTCGCTCCAAGAGCTCCCGCTGTCAACTGCATTCATTTAGCCGTCCTGGCGCTTAGCCCCACCCAGCAACCTTGGAAACTGGTGCCCAACGTCCGCCCAAAGTGGGGGGGCGGGGGGTGGGGTTGGATTTCTCAAGGAGAGTCGAGGGGTCTGAGGACCGTATCCAGAGCTTAGGTGGCAGTGGGCACCGCTGGGGCGAGACGGTAACACCACCCTGACCTCTGCCTGCCCCATCCCCCACCCCCGCAGCCCCCATCAAACGATCTTTTAATTTAGATTGATGAAGGCTCGGTGGGGGGGGGGCGGTGGCGACTTGTTGCAATGCCCCCTTTCAGAGAGTTAACAAGGTCCAAGTAAAGTTGGTGCCAAGGCTGGAGGTTGGGGGGTGGGGTGGGGGTGGTTGGGGGAGGGGCAACACTGAAGAGGGCAGACAGACGTACAAACCCCCATCGCCAACATGGTATTCCGCGCGCGTTTACCGATCTGCCTCTTCCCTTTCAGGATGAAAACATAATGCACTCGATGCAGCTCTTTGAGAACGTCATCTAGCGCACAGTCCGATCCTACGCCGCAGAGAGGCCGGCCGGGGGGGGGAGTGGGATTTGGGGGGTGTGGGGGTTGGCGCGGGAGACCATACATATGAGTCGATCGCTTGCCACCTCTCACCAAATGAACAAAAGAACTGAAAAATCTTCACCGGGTTTATCCTGAACAAGGGAACATCTTACACGCAAAGGATGACACAACAGGCGAATTCAATGGCATCCTCATGGACTGGCAAAGCTTTGACCCATTTGGAGTAAGGATGCGCATTGTTTTCCCGGTCGAACCCAGGCAGCGACGACAACAGTCCATCGTTTTGGAGGGGCCAAGGTAGGGGATTTCAGGAAGGTCCCTGGTAAAAGGATCGACAGTTAACTGCCGCCGCTTGGAACTTTCCTCTGGATAAAGCACCGTGGCTGACTGTAGGTGGCAGCATCCTGCTTGTAGATATCACCCGATGCCTCCTTTTACATGTGGGTTACCCGCCTGGTTCCTGGTCTCGGGTTGAGGGATTGACGATTTAAAAAGGGCGTCGGTGATTTGTGTTCCATCTGATTAAAGCAACAAATGTGTTTTTGCGACACTACGGACCTGACCCCCAGCGATCAGACTGCCCAACAGAAAAGTCGACGCCTCTCGAGCGAAATGCCGTGGAATTCAGGGACTGAGCTCGACTCCACTGTAGACACTTTGAGCCTGCCCCTGAATTTTGCCAAGTTTTCACTGACTTTTCTGATTTGAGATGCACCCCTCCCCGCCCCCCGCTCCCCACTCTAAACTTCAGAAGCAACTGTTCCCTGGGATTCAGGAACCGTGTTCGAGTCCCGAAAATGCAGGAGGAGAGATTGACGAAGATTTTCGGGTACTAAATAAAAAAAGACAATAACAACTCTCTCAGACCACAGGAGATCTCCCTCCTGTTTCAAAACTGTGCCCCTGCAGATTACGGTTGCTTTTGGAAACAAATCGCTCCGACAGTCGGCCTCCTGAGAGTAGCAGCCATACCACACCACCTACCCGCTCCCCACCCACCCCCCCCCCCCGGATACCAAAAGATTTCACCGTTCAGTGATGGGACTGTGGAAGGCAGAGCAAATATTTTATGTCAAAGACACACAACGCTCAGTGCTACTACGTGCGTGTTAGACCCTGATGCCATTTTGATGGCAGGCAGTGTAGAGGAAGCTTTACTCTGTATCTAACTCTGTGCTGTCCCTGTCCTGGGAATGTTTGATGGGGACAGTGTAGAGGGAGGTTTACTCTGTATCTAACCCCGTGCTGTCCCTGTCCTGGGTGTGTTTGATGGGGGACAGTGTAGAGGGAGCTTTACACTGTATCTAACCCCGTGCTGTCCCTGTCTTGGGAGTGTTTGATGGGGACAATGTAAAGAAAGCTTTACTCTGTATCTAACCCCGTGCTGTCCCTGTCCTGGGAGTGTTTGATGGGGACAATGTAAAGGAAGCTTTACTCTGTATCTAACCTCATGCTGTCCCCATCCCAGGAGTGTTTGATGGGGACAGTGTAGAGAGAGCTTTACTCTGTATCTAACCCCGTGCTGTCCATATACTGGGAGTGTTTGATGGTGGGACAGTGTAGAGGGAGCTTTACTCTTAGTTTAAAAGTGTCGAAGGAATGTTGCATGTGTTAAGACCAGCTGTGGGAGTCTGTCTGTCAGTATTAATAGCCCTTACTGTAAAACCACTGTGTTTGATCAGGCTGACGATAAAATAGAAACAGACTCTTATTCCTAGACCCTGTGCGAGATTCCTGTGTTCATGACGATCCGAACTCATTTCCATCAGTAAGATCCTCGTTGGGGAGGCAGAAGTCAGTATCCGGTTTCATTCACTGGATCGTTGCATTTATCAGGACAAGTCTGATTGAAAAGCAAATTCCAGCGCTTTCCCCCTGGATCCGAGTGACCACATGTTCGGAAAGGAACTGGTTCTACCAGGCTTTCTGTGTGACTTTGTGAATTAATAAACACGAGTGTCATTAATAACACCATACACGTTACAACCTTTGCTGTCAAGGGTAACAGTAGCCTCGATGCTGGTTGTCAATTTCAAGATGGTTTGTTTACCCAATTGCTTCGGATCTTTCGCTCTGATTCCTGTTGACCGTGTCTGAATTCCAGCAGTCAAGGTGTGAGCAAAAGTCTTTCCAATCTCCACTTTCCTTGTCTCTGATTTACTAGCCAGCTAGCGCTCAGAGCAAGAGACTGTTATTACCTGCAGCGCAGGGGTGCCAAGGGGTTAGTTCTGTGACTGTGACAGAACGATCGGCCCGACCGGGGGAGCACACATGTTTAGTAGCCTATTGGCACACACATTCACACACACTCTCACACACACACACAGACACACACACACACACACACTCTCTCTGTCACACACACAGACACACTGTCTCACACACACACTCACAAACTCTCTCTCACACACACACTCACTCACACACACAGACACACTCTCAATCACACACACTCTCACAGACACACACACTCTCTCTGTCACACACACAGACACACTCTGTCTCACACACACACTCACAAACTCACTCACACACACACACTCTCACACATAGACACTCACACACACACATTTTCACACTCAGACATTCTCTCTCTCACACACACACTCTCTCTCTGTCACACACACAGACACACTCTGTCTCACACACACACTCACAAACTCTCTCACACACATGCTCACATACACTCTCACACACACACTCACATACACTCTCACACGTACACGCACACTCACAGACACACTCTCTCTCTCAAACACACATACACTCTCAAACACACACACACACTCTGTCTCTCACACATACTCTCGCTCTCTTTCTCTCACTCACACACACATGCTCACATACACGCTCACACTCTCTCTGTCACACACACACACAGACACACACACACTCTCTCACGCGCACACTCTCTCACACCCACACACATGCACACGCGCAATCACACACCTGCACACACACACTCACGCACAGACACAGTCACACTCACACACACATACGCACGCACACACACGTGACCTCAGTCCCACCGATGCCCTCCAGTAGAGCTGAAACTGACTTTGTAGACCCTGCCCCTAAGTATTCCTCTGTCTGGCATGTTTGGGGCATAGTCCACAAGGGGTTGGCTTGCTGTTGAACAGGGGAGAGGGGTCGTCAAACCTAGCTTAGCTTCATAGTCACAGGGGGTGACAGTCCAGTCTGTTTCAGAATGTGTCTATTTCCCCCTTGGAGGGGTATGTGACATCTCATGCCTTTTCCGTCTAAACCCCACACCGCCAACCAATTTGCACCCACACTGTCTTATCTTTTCTGTATCAGCCCTTTCTGCAAAAACCACATTGCCTAAACCACAAGTTGGAAATGTCTGTCTTACTTTAGTGAGGGTCACTGACCCATAGAAACGGAGAAATTGGGAGCAGGAGGACGCCATTCGCCAATTTGAGCTCTGCCCCACCATTCAATATGATCATGTGCTGATCATTCAACTCAGTCCCCAGTTCCCTGCTCTCTTCCCCCATATTGTTTGATCCCTTTAGCCCCAAGTGCTATATCCAGTTCCTTTCAGAGTCATAAATTCATAATTGTACAGCACAGAAACAGACCCTTCGGTCCAACTTGTCCATGCCGACCAGATATCCTAAATTAATTTAGTCCCATTTGCCAGCATTTGGCCCGTATCCCTCTAAACCTTTCTATTCATATACCCATCCAGATGCCTTTTAAATGTTGTCATTGTACCAGCCTCCACCACTTCCTCTGGCAGCTCGTTCCATACACGCACCATCCCTCTGCGTGAAAAAGTTGTCCCTCAGCTCCCTTTTTAAACCTTTCCCCGCTTACCTTACACCTTCCAGTTTTGGACTCTCCCACCCTGGGAAAAAGACCTCGGCTACTCACCATAAACCATTCTCGAAAACGTGCAATGTTTTGCCCCCCCCGACTGCTTTCTGTGGCAGAGAATCCCACAGGCACGTCCCCACACTCTCTGGATGGAGACATATCTCCTCATCTCAGTCCTGACCCTGTCTCCTGAGATTGTGACCTCCCCCCCCCCCCCCCGCCAGGTTCTGGACTCCCTCCCGGTCATCAGGAACATCCTTTACCCTGTCTAGTCCCTGTTGGAATTCAATAGGTTTCTATGAGATTCCACCCCCATTCTCCTAAACTCCAGTGAATATAATCCTAACCCGATCCAGTCTCCCTTCATCCATCAGTCCGTGCTATCCCAGGGAATCAGTCTGGGAAACCCTTCGCTGCTCTCCCTCCATCACCAGAACCCCCACCCGTCAGATAAGGAGATTCCCCCAAATCTCCCACACACCATACTCCAGGGTGTGGTCTCTCCCTGTCCAATTGCAGAGAGACATCCCTGCTCCTGTGCTCCAATCCTCTCGCCATGAAAGGGCCCAACATCCCACTGACCTTCCTCTCCCGCCTCACCCATCGTCAGTTCCTTGGCTCCCTCCCCACGTCTCTCTCCTCTGCCTCGTTTCCTTCCATTGAGAGGCTGCTGGAAGCCAAAACACGCGGCTTGTGGGGGTTAGTTTGGGTGGGTGGGTGCGGGAAACGACCCTGCTACATGAAGCAGGCCACCCCGATGCAGCTCCGCAAGCGACGAAGGAAACGACCAGTCTCTGCCACGCCCTGGTTGGCCAACGGCCCCCCTTGGCCATTGGGGATGCCCAGAAGGGCATGATGTTAAACCCCTCAGGAGAGCCCACCAGGGAGTGTGGCAGAGGTTCACTTGGCCAATAGCCCTTGAGGAGAGATTGGCTTGTATATTCCCTGGAGCCCGGAAGGGCAAGAAGGGGAATCGGATTGAAATGTATAACATTATACCAAGGGTTGGGACAGACTAGACACAGCGAGGGGGTTGCCCTGGTTTGGAAGGGGTAGGAGTAGGGGGTGGGGGTAAGTCTAGAAGCAGGGGACCACAGTTCCAGGGCACTAGCGAGATGAGGAAACTTCCCTTCGCTCGGAGGGGACAGTCAACCCGTCCAACGGGAGGCTATGGAGGCCAAGGCAAGAAACGGGATCGCTATGCGAGGCCAAAGGCAGCTGTATAGTGTTCGGCCGTGGGTCAGCCATGGTCTCGCTGGAACAGGCTCAAAGGGGCTGAACGGCCTACTCCTGTTCGTAGAAATGTTCGGATGTTAAAAGCATCAAGAGCCCCAGGGGTGGGGGTGGGGAGGGTTTGGAGAGAATGGGTACGTGGGCAAGAGCAGACCCAATAGTATGATGGGCACGAATGGCCTCATCCTAGTGCTAGCACCGCCTTACGTCTGTCACTCCCTCCCTCTCTCTGTCCCTCTCCCTCTCTCTCTCCCTCCCTCTCTCCTTTTCCCTCTCTCTCCCTCTCTCCCTCCTCTCTCTCCTTCTCCCTCTTTCTCTCCCTCCCTCTCTCTCTCCCTTTCCCACTCCCCACCGCCAACTCCGGACTCAACCTCTCTCTCCCTCGACAGGATTCCCTTTTCCCTGGGGGGGGATCTTGCTGTGGGCCAATGGAGCAGAGGTGCCCCGTGGCAACTCACCCTCCCCTCTCCCTTTCTCTACCACCACGCAACACCACCCCCCAACTCCCCCCCTCCCCAAACACTCCACCCGCAGGAGTTGAGAATTTGGGGCGGGGGGGGGAATGCAGATTGCTGGGGGGGTGGGGGTGGGGAGGGGGGGAGGGGAGGGGGGGGGGGGGAGGGTTTGGAGAGGTTGGCAACGTCGCTGTGACGGTGGAGCCAGCTCACAACTGAAAGGAAGAGAGAGAGAGAGATAGAGAGCGAGAGATAACATTCACGTTCCAGAAGCAACAACAAAAAAGGAACGTCAGAAACTCCGAGGGAGCTTCAAGCAGCCGCTCGGGAGACAGCGCCTAACTTCAGAGTTTAAAGAAACCCCCCCACCACCCCCCCCCCCCACCCCCCCCCCCCCATTCCCCCACCCCCTAAACACCCCGCCTCATGGATATCCTCCTGCTCACGGCCAACGTCGGATCTCTCTTTGACGATGTAAGTGACTCCAGGCTCTTTTCATCGTGTGCCCAAGGACAGGATCTGTTCGCTGTAAACTCTGGCAACTGCCAAGCCCCCCACCCACTCCCTCCAACACCCCCCACCCAGCCCCCCAAACACTCCCCCACCCACCCCTCCCCATCAGCATGGCTACTAACTTTTGTTTATCTATCCTTCCCTGCCCCCCACAAAAGTCTTTAATGTTTCATTCGCCTCCCCCCAACTCTTCCCCAGCCCCCCCATCTCTTTTTATTGCCTCCTGCCCCAGGGGGTTACATATAATCAGATTTCCCACAAGACACCCCCCAGCCCCCCTCCTCTAACCCCCAACCCTCCTGCTGTCTGTATCTGCCCTGTTTCTCTGCAGTGGGGTCTTGGGGTTGGGCAGGGATGTGGGGGGGGTGTGGTGAGGGGGTTAGGGTAACGCTTCACCCCTCTGAAGGAAGTGCCGCTCTCTGCCAGTCGTCTCTTCGCAGGCGGGCTGTTCGACCGGGGTGGCCTCGCCGTGAAACCGGGCGCCCTGCAGTCCCAGAGAGGAGCGGCATGGGGGAGGGAGAGTTGGGGCTTGCGGGGAAGTGGTTAGCGACTGTGCCCTGTTCGGGTATTTGCCCCCTCGATCAGTGCCACGCGCCAGAGAAAAGCCATCAGCTTTTATAATGTGGGATCTCGCTGTGCTCAACTTGGCTACACAGACACACTCACACATACACACACATTCTCTCTCTCTCACACACACACTCACACTCATACACACACACACTCTCTCTCTCACACACACACACACTCACACTCACACACACAGACACTCTCTCTCCCTCCCACACACACACACACACTCACACACACTCACACACACAGACACTCTCTCTCTCTCCCACACACACACACACACACACACACATACATACACACAAACACACTCTCTCTCTCTCTCACACACACACATGCACACACTCTCTCTCTCACACA